AAGCCGGTCTGTAATCTGGAGAGCAGCTATATTTCCTCTGAGCCCCCCTCCCCCTAAAAAAACAATTGTTCATTGAAATTAAAATGGTGACAAGCCTTCTCCAGACTTAAAGCAATCAACACATGGGAAAGCAGAGAAAAATTCCATGTCTGCTTTTAATAAAATATACTTTTCTCATCAAAATATTTTGATAGCACAGGAAAAGAGATGTGTGCTCATTAAATTTTAATGAATGTCTATCCCTGCCATTTTCCATATGAGGATCACACACCATGACTCATGCATGGTAGGTGCTAGGAATAGTTAATTAGGAACAAATTTAATCCAAACACAATCTTCTTTGCCATAGGAATGAATGGAAGCCAAGAGAAGTCCCTTAGGATGTATGAATGCATCGCCACAAGTCTAGGTTCTTTGGTTGGTATGACATGGATTCAGATGGGAGGGTGAGCCAATATTGCTTTATTTTGACCTGTATTTCCCTGAGAAAAAGGCAGTTAGATAAGAAGGGCTGGATTCTAGCTTCCAGGAAGCTCTAGTTGCAAGACTGAGCTGGAGATTCCAGAGGAAAAACTTTGGGCAAAGCCTTTGAAAAGAAAGAAAGGAAAACAGGTGGGAGGGCAGACTTGAGGACCTCACAGATGGCTCTGTCCACACATTCAGCTGCAAAGTTCTCATCTACAAATTTTAGACTCACCTCTAAGCGGCCCTAAGCTACCTTTCTGGGGTCCTCACTCATGCCCAGCTACCAACCTCTGTTCCTACAGAGGGGCCCTCCTAGCGCTCCTGTGCTTGCTGTGGACTTTGCCTGCCCTTGCCCATGCCTGTCCCTAACATCTGGTATAATCTTTCCATGTGTCTCTACTGGCTGAATGTTTTCTGCTCACTGAAGGTAATTTCTCCTGAAACATCCTCAATTCCTGATACCCTGCTCCATTTGAGCTCACACACTCTCTCCACCTTTGTAATACTCTCATCTTTTGGCTACTGGTCACTATGGAGGACCACCTGGACAACTCTCCCTGAAAGAAGAGCAATTGGGTCACGGAGATAGCTCAGTGGCAGAAGCATCTGCCTAGGCAAGCATAGGAACCTGGGTTCGATTCCTGGTACCGTGCTCTATGGCTTCCCACAGCTACCAGTGCCTTAGTGTCTTTATTCTCACTGAGGGCTGTGCCAGAAGTGGTAGGTTGGAATTAACACACAAGGATTCCAATAACTTTTCCACAGGCTACAAATGTGAGCTTCCTGGGCCATGGGGAGGACCCGTAAGAGCTCTCCATTGTCATCACCTCTGCTTCCCATAAGGGCTCCAGTGTGGCAGCAACATAGCCTTGTGGTCACCTGTTCGTTCTTCTGAGTCAGAATGAACTTTTTGGGAAGCTTTTTTCCTTCCCTTACAAGGTGTGCAATTGTGGGCCAGCCCCTTACGAACAGAAGCAATTGCAGCAATGACACCAGCCAACGTGCAGTAGTGTTTACTGTGACTCAAGCATCAGACACCTGTGGGCTCATTTGTGCCCCAGGAACTCTATAAAGTGAGAATTGCCACACCCTGCATCACACAGATGTGAGAACAAAATTTAAGGCAGATCCAGTAATTTAGCCAGGGCTCCACAGGGTTGATGTGGAGAAAGCAGATTTTGTAGTTACACAGCCAGGCTCCATGCTTTGACCACAGCACTACCCTTCCTGGGCCTCCACAAGACAAAAGTTACCTTGTAGGGTGGTCATGAATTTTAAATAAGATCATAGAAGAGAGGTGCTCAGTAATACTGTGCTTAAGGAATCATAGTTGCTGTCATGGTCATCCCTGCATGCTGGCCTTTGCCCTCCTCCTGCGTCTAAGCTCAAGACAAAAGGTCTCGCTCTCTTATCCTCTTCCTCTCACATGGTTTCAACCCTATGCGTGACTGCTTCTTTCAAAGCAGCACTGAAAGGGTGTTGCTCTCAGTTAGCTGGGAGCCCTCCCCAGGTCATAGATGGAGGAAAGATTCTAGCATTTTTCTGGAGTTTGGGAACATGTTCTAGATAATTGAGGACTTCTGAGTCATTGTGGGTTTGGGATTTTCAGAGTATTAACTCCCCAAGCCCCAGATCTTGTTTTATATTATTTATCTATTTTTCCCCAGACCTCTTGTGTAGCAGTTCAGCTTGATGTTTTCCTGACAGTGCTCTCCTCTCTTCTTCTTTACCATCCCTTGCTCTTCTGAGGTCTCCTTTGCCTTCCTCTGTCACGTTAGGCTGAGGACCACTGACTGCAGACCATAGCTCTCACTTCAGATCCCCAGCAGGTTAAACAATATCTAGGCCTTCAGTCTTAGCCAGAGTCTTCTGAACTAGGGCCCCTAGCAGCTCAGGGACACCTGAATGGTTTTTAGGTTGTGAGGTGTTTTCCCTAGGAACACCTTGGTCTCTCCTTGGATTTAGTTTATGCAAGGGGTTAATGAGGCTAATAGTAAGATTTGTATGATGATGGCTTGTGCTCCTTTCCATGAATAAAGTCAGCACTGGACAAAATCCAGAATGTCCTTCTGCCCCAGGGTTTACTCTTCATAAAATGGCTTTGCCTCTCAGTAAGCTTCCTCCATGATCCACATCCCAGATTCCTTCAAGGAAACCAAAACAAACCAGATCAGACCAGACCAGACTAGAGCAGACCAGACCAGACTAGACCAGACCAGATGAGACCAGACCAGACTAGATGACACAAGATGAGACCAGACCAGACCAGACCATATCAAACCAAACCAAACCAAGCCAACATTTTTTTTTTTAAATCATGTCCTTCCTGCCCAGGTCCACTAACTTGTGGGATAACACAGTTCTGATTCTGCCCCTGGGGATCTCAACTGGTCTTCAAGTAAACCCAGAAGATAGCATACAAATAAGCCTTCACATTAATAATACCTAAAAGAGGGCCAGGGAGATGGTTCAGTAGAATAAGCTCTTCCCTGGCAAGCGCAAGGGTCTGAGTTCAATCACTGGGTCCGCCAAAACAAAAAACAAACAAAAAAAAAGCCTAAAAGATCAAAGCTATCAGTTTCCTTCATAGTCCCAGTTTATTATTAGTGGTACAGTTAAATTCTAGTGCATGCTGTGACTGGGGAACGTCGCAGCTTAGAAGGCTTCTCCTGAGATCTTCACAGGGACAAGCCTGTGCTCCGTAATGAGATGAGCATTCAGGTCTAGGTCCTACAGGGGCTGGAGCAGGGGTGCGAACTTCCATATCTTCAGGGAAGAGCCAGCTGAAGATGGTCCTGCCACGCAAGCATAGGTGCCCACCTGCCTGCGACAGCCGCTGGGCCTCATCTGCTGACTTCACGTTCTCACAGCACAGCAACCGTCTGGCACAATCCCCAGATCCTCTTCTCTGCATTTCTCCCTCCGTCTGCCTGCAACCTATGCGCCCTCCTTTCTAACCTGACTCTTAAAGCCTTTCACACAGGCAGTGCCAGGGTGGGTCTGTGTGTGGCGGCCATGGGGAAGAGCCAAGAAGTGATGACAGAACTTTCTAGACATTCTCATCTGCGGACATTCATTGTCCTCAAGTTTAGAGGAGCTTCATCTTGGGGTGGCTCAGGTGCCACCCACACGGCCAGATCATGAAAAACAATGGTATGAGCCGGTTCCCAGGTTGCCAGGGCTGGGAGACCCAGCTGTCCTGCTTGCTGGCTTTGTGACCCTGGGTGATTCATACAACCCATCTGAGCCTTTTTTTCTTATTGGTGAAAAAGGAGCTGTTAGTACTTCCTATCTTGTGGGGTTACTCAGTACCTAGAATGCAGGGCACCTACGGTGCTACACTACACTGTCTAGAGCCCAGCAGTTCCCAGGAAGGCTGCAATCCTGGATGCTGCACCCCAAAAACTGGCATTATGAATTATTCACACCAAATAGTTCAGAAGAAAGAAGGCCCGTACCTCACTGCTGACCATTTCCCCCCATACCTAGGGCCACTTGTAATGTAATAGACTTTAGGAAACTTTGATTTATCACTTTAGGAGAATGCAGCTCAGTATAATCTATACTAATTACTTGTAATCACATACAAATGTTCTCCAGATTAGAAGATAGGAAGGTCTCTAGGCCCTGGGTAAAATGGCCTGAGGTGTCTCTCCTCTGTGTTTCAGCTGGATGTCCAGGTTCCTGTCTCAGGCTTGTGGCTGGCAGTAGGTGCCCCAGAAGCTACAGCTGGGCCCCAGGGAGGTGGAGGAATAGGCTTCCATGTCTTGCCTTCCACTCTCCTCTCAGCCCTTCTCTGTGGAGTTCTTCAAGCTACATGAGCAGACACTTCTGTGAAGATGCCCTTTAGAAGTTTTGACCCAGTGCGAGAAACAAACTTCATAATGACAGAAGTCAGAAAAGTGGCTACTATGGGGATGGAGGGGGAGTTTCTGACAGCAAAAGCATGACAGAAATTTCCAGGGTGTTGGAGAGCCCCTGTCTCTTTATCTAGTTGCTGGATGCAAAGTATAGATTAAGAACCATTGTCCTCAAGCTGGATCCTTCAAAGTGTGTGTCCTGCTGTGTGCCAGGACGCCCCCATGAACAGGGCCACCGCCCCAGTGCAGGTAGAGGTGCTGCAGGCGGTTCGCATGTCATCTGGCTGCCTGACCCACTTTCTTCTGGAGACAGAGAAGTTCTAAGTCTCTGTATCCATTACACATCTTTATCTTCCTCCACAAGTGTGTTTATATCCACAGGTTTTATTTATATCTGCAGTCACATCTATATATTTAAATCTGGAGAGAAGAGGAGTGTTATATGTGCATGACTAAATATAGGGTGATTTGCTTCTTTCAAAGAACAGGAAGATCTCAGTTCCATTATGTTTCTGGAGCAGGACACACACACACACACACACACACACACACACACGCACAAGCATATGCACACACATAAGTGTGCACGCATGCGCTAAGCCTGGGTTCCCAATCAACAACCTCCACCCATCTCCCCCTGCTCCCTCCCATCTAGGATGAGATGATAAAACGGACCTTGATGACGATCTTGGGGACAATCAGTGCAGTGGACTTCTGCTTAGCCAGGACATCCTTGGTCTCATTGATGCGAGCTGTGACGAAGAAGTGCAGGAAGGCCTGCTCCAGCAGCTGGCCCATGTACTCACCGGCTCTGACCAGCACCTCCTTTTGCTTGGCTGCCAGGGGCAAAAACATACAGGCTGGCATCAAGACCTGAGGCCAGATCTGAGTTCCTTTTCTCCTGGTTCCCCATCCTTCCCACACAGGCCCGTAAGCCCAGACTTTCTCTGCAGCTTTTTCTGTATCAATCTGATACCATGATTTTTCTATTTAAGAGAAACAAACTGTTAAGGCATTGTCCCTTCAAATAGCCCCTGTGCTGTTTGTCATGTAGAAGGTAGAAGGCCTCCATTCCAAATGTTTGTTTCCACAAGTCACTGTTGTCAGTTGTTATGATCTGGGGATAGGCTATGAAGGATACATCTGCAGGATGGACAATGGTCCTGGCTCCCTTGCAGTCCCTGTCTAAGCTGAGAATGGTGAGTTTTCTCTTGTGGCTCTGGCCCATTACTCCCAGTTTACAAGCCTAGGGTTCTAGAGAGCAAAGGGCAGGTGGGTTGTAGGTTGTGCTGAGGTGGGGCAGGACATCCTTGGTCTATGCTATAGCATCAGCCGGCAGCCCCGCGGATGACTCATGCCTCCATCCTCGCCTGCAGGGGATGGAGACTGAACATCAGTGTCCTCAAGACATCTTCACCACCCTTCTGCCCTGTGTCTGACATTTGCCAAGTTCTTCTTCCTGCAGAAGCTGTGGAAGGAAACAGGTTCGAGGGCTAGGAGTTGAAGCGTGGAGGGCAGTTCATTTTAGCCCACCATACTGGTCTGTAGTCCCACAGGAGGACAGAATGCTGCCTGTTGGACTGAGGAAGTGTTTGACCATGCTCATCACCCCTAGGTGGGACTCACACCTGGACAGGATCTGCAGGCCAACAGCACCATTGTGAGAGCTGGTTAGAGACCCAGGTGCTCTGACCTCGTTGCACCTCTGAATCAGGATCCACATTTCAATCAGATCTCAGGTGATGTCTACTTAAGTGTGAGAATCTCCAAGGACAGAAGCCTCAAATAAGAGATGGAATTAGAGGAGACTTGGGATGATCCTAAATTCCACATCCTAAGAAATCCATTAAATCTTGTTCAACTGGAAAGACTGGTCATTCTAGATAGGCAGTTGTTTATAGAAGGGGGGTGCTTCATTGGGCATATTTGACAATATTAGACACTGCTTGTCATTACTAGGCTTGGGAGTAGCTTGCTACTGGTACCTCATGGATGGAGGCCAAGGATGCTGTTAAGCATCTTACAATGTGCAGAACAGGCCCCCAGCACAGAAGTGTCCAGCCCTAGATGCTGCCATGCGAAAGCTGGGAAACCTGGCCCTAGACCAATGATGGCAACCCTTTTAAAGACCTAGAGCCAAACTGCAACCCAAATTTTTAATCCCACTTTTTGAATCCTAAAGTGCCAAAAGAGCAATTCAGCTTGAATATTAAGCTTTTAGTTTAGGATAAAACAATTCTACATTAACATATTTTGTCTTAAAATAAAAACACAATAGCATGTGTGCTGTAGGCTTGCCACTGGTGCCCTATACCATGCACATTCTTGGAAAGCACTTGTCCATTCAAGACAAGTGCTCAACAACTGGCTTGGCTTGATTGTGGGACAGGATTTCTCCATTTAGAGCCCATTTGCGGAAGCTGTCACCATGCCAGACGAGTGAGGTACCAGTCTTCCTGGTCTGAACATGACCTCCGATGAGCACATGTGGCCTGTTGGTCACAGCCCAGGTCTGGATGGATGCAGGCCTTGAAGAGCATGCATTTAACCCCTGCCTGCCTCCAATAGCAGTAATAAAAATGAACTTCATCTAACCACTTCTACAGGACTGCTCTTCGTCTCTGGGTTCTTTCAGGCTAGTGCCATATCCTTCCCTTCCTCCTACCTATCATACTGAAGCTCTTGCTACCCTGAGAGTCTCAGCGTCAGGATGTCTTTCTTCTCAGAGGTAGAATATTCCTTAAATCACAGCACTAAAGAAACTGGGCTGTGCCTCTGAGCCCCAGAGAACTGAGCTCCTGAAATAGTCTGTTATGTAAGAGCTGTGTTTTGCCACTGCACAAGAAATTGTTCTAGATAAAGTTTATTAAACGTGGCAAGAGAAGGAGGAATAGATTTTCCCTCTCCGAGCGGCAGTGCTGGGATGCTGCCAATATCATTTACAGTGTCTGGGGAAATCCAAGGGAGACACAGACTGAAGCCGCCTCATCATTTTCCAAAAAGCAAAGAAAACTAAATATAGCCAAGTGGAAATGATAGCACCTTTGAAGGTATTGGGAGGTTTAAGTTATTCACATCTCCCAAACTGATCCTAGCCCACACGTTCCCTTTAATCATCACTCTGGAAAGTCTGCCTACCATTCTACTTGGAAAACTTTCTTTACAACAGATTGGCATGATCAAGGTCTGGAACTGTGTGGCTTCTTGTGATGTTGCAGTTTGTTTTGAGTTGCAGCCTGCAATTTATTGCATGTAATTAATGTCACCTACCTGCAGAGTTAAAGAAAAAAGAGTTTTCAGTTGCCTTCAAGTAATTCAGGACAAGCTGTGGGGTGGCTGAGTGGGTGGGAAGTACGCTATTGTTGACTCAGGCTCATGTTTGGTCAGCCGTCCCTAGATCAGTGACTAAGAGGATATAATACACTATGCTAGCCCACCAGCTGCTTGGAGCTCATTCTGTAATTGGGTTAGAGAGAGGAGGAGAAGGAGATCGGCATACAGGGCACTGCTGAGGTAGGAAGACAATGAGTGTATAATTCACTGTCCAGAGTTCCATGCTGGGCCACAAGTCATGGAGCCATGAGCAAGAGAACCGTGCCCCTGGGGACTGAGTCAGTACCCCCCGGCTCACTGTCAGCCTCAATGGGCCCTGGGTTCTGCCATCTGCTCTGCTACTAATTGCTGTGTGTGGCCTTGACTACATCAACTCATCTTTCTAGCCTCGGTTTCCCCAAATGTTGCAAAGCACCACGTGTAAAGCATTTCGTGTGCATTCTCCCACTTCATTTCTTCCACACTTTCCCCTTCTTTCAAGCATAGCCAAGCCATCAGGGCTCCAGGAGGCCTCTGCCCCCAGAACATCCCTACGTCTGCCTGGTCCTCACGACTTCCACTGTGCAGCACGTCACCATCCTTCAGCCAGATGACGCATCAGCATCCTAACTGGTCTCCGAGCTGTAGCTGAGCTTCCCCTACAGGGCTGTGTCAATGCGGGGGTGAAAGTGGGCTCTCTCAGCCTAAGTCATACCGTGCTCTTGTGCTCAGTGGCTTCTCAGTTCACTGGAAACCAAAGCTGAAGTTCTTCCAAGGCAGAAAGTTCTTCACATGATCTGCACCCACACACATCTCCCTCTTCTCGCTTTTGCTCCTGTTTTAGGCTCTTTTCTATTATTATAGCAAATGAGTGCCAAAGAGGTACTTTATGAACACAAGAGGTTACTTGGCTCACAGTCCTGGTGGCTAAAGAGTCCAAGCAGCATGGTGCTGGCCTCTTGACTATATTATACCCTGCCAGAGAAAAGCAGGCAGCTGGCCTTGTGCAGCCCAGCGCAGCTCATGCCGTAGCTCACTTTATAACCACCTCTCTCCCAGGAACTCATTCACTTGGTGAGAACACTAGCAGTCTCTTCAGAGGGCAATGTTCCCACGGCTTAATTATCTTCTGCTGTACTCCAACTCTTAGGGGTTTCGCCACCTCCCAATATTAGGGTCCCACAGACCACGCTTCCAGGACACGTCCTGGCCACAGCAGCTCACCAAACGTATCAGACACGCTGTGGCCCCAAGGCCTCCACACAGGCAGGGTCTCCTGATTGCAAGGCCCACTCTTGCCCTCTTGTCAGCCCTCTCTGTTCAACATCACGCTACTAGACAGGTTTGCAATGGCCACTCCACCCAGGAACATCACTTCCTGTCCCTCTGAGCCTGCTGTATACTTTCTCATGACATATACAATCACACTATGTACTCACTTGTTTAATTGCTTATTTTCTGTTTCCCCCAGAAGATCAGAAACTCCCTAAAGGTGGGCATTTCTATGTCTTCAGTGCAAAACAGAAGCTATCTATGTATGCACTAAATCCATGCTCAGGGAGGAAAGAATCATTCTGTGGTGTGGGCAGTGCTGCTGCCATATGCAGATGAGAAGAGACTGTTCAGACTGCGAAGCAGTGTGTCCAACGATACACAGCCCATAGGTGAGAGACTCACACCTTATACCAGATTTGTATAATCCCAAGTCTCAGGCTCTCTAAAGGCAAGTGTCTGTCTGTTCTAAAAACTAGGCTATTGTCCTCCTCTTCAGTCCTTGAGGCTGACTATTCTTTCCTGCAAGGATCTATTCCTCCCACTCGAGATTTTAAAAAGTGTTAAATCTCCTAGTTTCCAAAGAAAATACCATGGTGATTTCTTAACTGTGAGCTATATTATTGAAGCTACAGATAGTCATTTCCTTTAAGTTCTTAGAAATAGAATGATAAAGAATAACTTCCCATTTTTCTGAGAATGTCCTCATGAAAGGTGTCCCGATTGGGGACAGCCAAACTTAAGAAAAAGTGAGACATGCGATTTTTGTCATCCCACAAAGGCACATAGTCAGGCTTGACTCTGCTCTGTAAAAGTTATTATTTGCATGCCTGTTTTTCCCTTTTCTTTACAGTGCCACCTATCAGATGAACAGAAACCCAGTTCCCTTTATGGCCAGGTCTTTTCTGATCTCTGTCTGACTTAACACACTGCCTGGACACCAGTTTCTTCGGGCCCACACAACCGGCTGGTCCTGTGCTGGACTGCCACGCCCAGGAATACTAGCATCCCAGGAAAAGGAGATTGCCCAAGTCATAATATTAATCCCCATCGCAGGCTGCAGTGAGAACTCCGACCTGCTTAGGGTATTCTGAGTTTCCACAGTGAAGAAAATGCTTGGATACTGTGCAAGGGAGTGTGGACGGGAAGAAGGACGTGAACGAGGGTCCAAAGAAATGCCAGAGTGTCCAAGACTCTCACAGGCTCTGGGATGGTGCACTCTCTGCCCGCAGCCTCCTCTCCCAGCAATGGGCTCTCTCTCCAGAAACCAGCTGACCAACTTTAAGGAGTAGCCTGTGGGCAGAACTGGGATTTCTCTCTTCTCAATGGTAAAACAAATAACTGTTCCTACTGGGAAGCCTCTGAAAGCCTTTCCTAAGTTGGGACAGAGTTACCACTCAGGGGTCGGTTGTCTCAGCTGAGTGCCTTACAAACTTTCCTATGTACCCACACCCCTTTGAGAGCTCATTAAGAGGCAAATTCTGATTGGGGGAGCTGGGTGATACTTTCTGCCCAAGGACTATACACTGAGTAGTCAGACGAGAGGTTGCATTTAATCCTCATGACTCTGGGGGCTCTGAGCTTTGGAAATGCTGATGCTCATGGCTGTGCGTGAAATGGAAACACGGAAGTGGAGGGTCTTCTAGAAGAGGTGATTTTTTTTCTATGTGGTCCACACTCCACATCTCTAGGGAGAACTTGAATGAGTGGATAGTGTTGTTGCTAGAGACAAAGACCCAGATAATAAGTCGTGTGTGTGTGTGTGTGTGTGTGTATAGCACACCCTAGTTAGCTTACAGGCAAAAGGCTCCAGCGCCACATCAAGTGTCTTGTTCATGAATTCCGTCTTGGAGACCCCGGTGTAGAAGGTTATGTTGCCTGAGAGATAGGCTGTGATGTTGTAGTGGTTGGGGCTGTTGCTCTGGAAAGTGATGGTGACCCTGAAGTCCTTCCCCAGCACAGCATTTTCCACTTGAAAGTCCATGTCCACATTTGACCTTGATTTGACCAGGCCTTCTGTTTTGAGGTCCTTCTTGGCTCCGTACATGAGGGCAGTTTCTAGGGCCAGTCTCTCTTCTTCCTGACCTAGGAAAGACTCAGAGATAGTAATAGTAATAAAAACACAACACCGAAGAGAATGTATCTTCCTAAACATAGCATGTGCTGTTTTTCCGGACAGCTTCCATAAGCTCCGCACTTTCCCGAGGCAGGTGCAGTCATACCTGTTATCACTCCTTCAGAGCCAGAGTCGCAGAGAGTCAGTGACCTGCGCCAGCTGCCTGTTTGGTAGGTGGCTGTGCTTTGGTCTATTAGAGAAGAGGATGGCTGCAGGGGTAGCTCTGAGGGTTGTCTCTCAAGGGCAGTTATTCCAGGGCAGGTAAACTGGAATTATCTAACTCTTCTCAAACTGTGTTGTCAATCTGTGTCCCTTCCCAAATCCAAGGCACACAGTTGAGTCCTGCCACTCTACCTTCTGCGGGGCTGGTTTTCTCCGAGTCATGAGTTCTTTGGCTCATCCCCAGACAAGACCTGCTTCCTCCTTCTCATTCCTGGGTAATGCCCACTTGTTTCTTCCTGTGCCAGCTCTAGAAATCTCCTGCCCTGCCCTTCTCCACCTTCCACAGTGGCCACTGGCTCCTGGGAGAATGCAGAGAAGGCTTTTTCTCAAACTGAGGCTGAAGGACTCTAGGCTCTGGTGAGTTGTTACCCAGCTTTCCCTCTCCAAGGGCTCCCCACATCATCTGGACCCTCTTCTGTGCTATTCACAGCCTTCGTTAGCCTAGCAGAGGCCTGAGACAAAAGCCTCCAGTAAACAGGGCTCACAAGGTGCATCCAACAATGAAGGTCTATCTATCTATCGATCTATCTATCTATCTATCTATCTATCTATCTATCTATCTGTCTATTGGTAGCCTAGAGATTCAACCTGGGCCCTACACACTGAGCCACATCCTTGGCCCAGTCTTTATTTGGAGACAGGGTCTTGATAAGTTGCTAAATTGCTCAGATTGGACTCAAATTTGTGGTCCTCCTGCCTCAGCTTCCCAGAGTGCAAGAATTACAGGCACGTGTCACCCTGCTGTGCCTGAAGAGTGTTTGTGAGGTCCCTCTCGAGAGGTGATGGTGTACTGGAGTTCTAAGCCGATGGAGATGTGGTGTCACTTTGAGGCAAGTGTCCTGTGAAGAGTTTCTAAGGCTGTGGTAGAAATGTGGGGAAGCAGAAATGAGAGAAATTTTGCTGTGGAAGCAGAAAAAGATAGCTCTGAGTAGGTGTGGAAGTGAGAGACGCGAACTTCAGTGGGGCCTGCAGGGCTCCCGTGCCTCAGACGCTGACGTGTCGGGCTCATGGCTCTGAGGGTTCAGGATGCAATTTCTGGCTTTGCGGAGGGCCCTGTGGAGGTGCAGAGGGATGGTCGCCATTCTTTCTCTGATATAAACATCTGTCTACACCTTCATGCATTGTGGAGAGTGGAGATGAAAAGACAAAAGCAAATTCCGTGGTTTGTAAAAAATACTAATTGAGAAAAGTTAGTGGGAGAAAAATCAGTTCAAGATAAGAATGCTAGCTTTTATAATTATGTCAACTCAAAGATACCATCTTCTACCTTACCTGGTTAGTAATTGAATGCAGGGATGGTGAAAAGGCTAATTAATCATAACTACCATTTAGCACTAATTATGAGCCAGGCATTGCGATCAATGTTTGCGCATTATTTCATCTAATCCTCATAACAGTCTACTGGTGAAACACTGTTAATACCACGTATAAAACAAGGGGAGCAACTTCATGTTGTCAGGTGGGTGGGAGGGAGAAGATGCATAGTAAGCTGGAGCTAGTCGGGAAGGTCAAAGAAGTGCCAGCTGGCTTTGCCTACAAACGTGAGGGTGTGTGTATTAACAATTTCCCTGGCTGTCCAGACTGCACGAAGCTGCCAGAAGCTATTGGTCCAAGGCAAGCAATGGCAAGAGCGTGTGTTTACAGATCAATAGGAGGGAGGTGGGACAAAGGGAAGGAGTGTGGTGGAGAACCTAAAAATGTGGGAGGTATTTTAGCAGCAATCATAGGGCAGACACGTCCAGGAGAAAGAGGGCATTAGCGATTCTCAGTTTGGATGGGGGCCAGATGTACATTTAGGCAAGATGCAGGAGGCAGATTGGAGCAGCAGAAACTTGATCAGAGAGGTGCTGTCTGTGGAAGAGGAAGGAGCTAGCCCAGGAGAAGGGACTGGGCGGAGAACACTTGTGCAGAGCTGTGAGTGCCTTGATGTTGGCTGGGGATGGAGGATGGAGCCTTGAACTTCCTTCTGGGGAAGCACCTGCCCCAGGGCCAGGCCCTGCCAGGAGAGAGTGCCTGGGGCTATTTCAGGAAGCACAGAGCCAGTAGGAGAGAATTGCAAGGGTTCCCGGAGCCCCGAGCCTGGCAGAGTCATTCCTGTCTCTGCACTTAAGCTCTGAGCCTGATGCCTTACATAATTCAGGGATATGTGCAATGCTGAGATTATCTAAAGCCACACTGTGTTTTTCTGAGATTCCTTAGTAGCCCCCAGGAGCAAGGTGGAAAACATTTTCCTATTAGCTAGGGTGTAATAGGAAAGCAGTTTTCCTGCTGGGGAGAGCTCTCCTCACTGTCCTAGCCTAAGCTCCAGCATCACCTCCTGCTCCCCAAGCCCCTTTTCCGGTGTAACATGTCCTCAAACTCCAGTCCGCCCATCTCTTACCACACCCACTTGATTTTCTTTCCTCTTCCTGTCACAGTGCTTGTCCCTGTGTGATGCAACCTCCCAGCTGGAATGCAGGCCCCATGTGAGCAGGGAAGGGGGCTGTTGGGGGGGGGGGGGCTGCCTCCTCTACCTATGTGCCTTAGCTGTCCTGGAGCTTCTGAGGGTTTCTCAGGACCCCAGAGATTCCCAGGACCTCGTACCTTTCACCTTTATCATAGTGCTGCACAGTCCTGCTCCGATCACCTCACATTCAGTTCAGAGCAGCTGCAAACGAGCCACCTCTGCGTCATTTCATGCTGCTGGAGCCCCTAGTGCTCCAGACACTGCATGAAGCCTGGGCGAGAAACACAGTCCTTTCTGGTGGGTACACAAGTTTGTGTCAGTGAGGCTGGCACAGGTGCTGACACAGGTGAGGTGCCTGGGAACATGTGGAGGGAACATTAGCCACCCTGAGGAATAGGGGAGCCTTCTTGAGGAGTTCTTTTCAGCACAGTGAGCAGACACAGGAAGGTCAGAGACAGCAGGTCTCAGTTTCCCTGCCTGCTCTCTGTGGCAGCTCTGGGATGAGGTCAGGGGCCGCAGCAGGGATGGTGGGGGTCAATCAGAGGGTTTGGGCTTGCAGTCGAATGCTCTGGAAGCGGTGGTTAGAGCAAAGCTTTAGGCAGTTCTGAAGCAGCCTTGGGCTTCCATGTGCGGTGCATCACACACACAGCATGGCAGAAGGCGGACTGGGGGAAGGAGGATGAGACGGTCAGAGGAGGAATCAAGCTCTTGCTTTCCCAGGAAATACAATGATAGCCCAAACTGGTTGCCCATCAGAATAGCAGAATTACTAACAGAGGTGGACCCTTGCCACACGCTGGGCCCACCAGTGAGGGTTTCACACACCTGATCCTACTTAATGCTCTGAGTGGGACCACACAGGCAGAGGGGGAGGAGATCAGCTTCAGAGGGGACATGTGGTGAAACTACAGCCTGATTAATTCCTGGGTTGCTGAATTTGGGTGAGGGTGGTTGTCTTCACAAGGATAGGGAGTACAGGAGTTGTGTCTGGGATGGATGGGGTGAGAGAAACTGGGCTTTGGGAGGGTTCAGTGTCAGGCTTCCATGGGACTCTTAGGCCAAGGCCAGGTTGGCGCAGTCGTGGAGTAGCCTGCACATTCCTATTGCAGCCAGTGTTAGCAGCGGCTATGAGGAAGACCGAGAGCAGGCGTCCACGGAGCCCAAGCAACGAAGGGTGGGCCTGAGCGGCAAAGCAAGCTGGCAGTTGCCAAAAGTGATGGGAACAGAGAAGGAGGTGTGGAGGGAGCAGCGGCACTGGGAGAAATCGTGTTACAGAAATGAACAGAATTTCAAGAAAGGGGCCCGATTGGCAGTCAGAAAGTACAGGTGGGTCAAGTGACGCAGGACCTGCACAGTGCCGAGTCCACGCAAAGGTGGCCGTGTCCCTGCTGAAAACAGTGTCCAGGAAGCTGATAAGGAAAATCAGGGGGCCATGGGCAAGGGATGATCAGGAAAGGCACAGGGGGTGCTAGGCCAGACGGCTGCTGTGGGAGGAGCACAGAGCCGGGCATGCTCCCAGGGAATGCAGGGTGGAAGGTGACTGTCGATTGTTCAGATGCAGGGAACATTTGATGCGCTAAGAAGGGAAAACGGCAAGGTGAGATGAAAGTACACGTGATAGAGGGAGACCTGACAGTGTGAGGAAGAACGGGGCTGGAGACCCCAGCACAAAAGCTCTATTGCCCCTGGAGAAGTTTTCAGAACTCTGGTTTTCAGTTTTCTAATTTCTTCATCTTATAATTTGAAAAAATGTTGTAAAATTGATGTTAATCTTTAGCTAGTTGAAGTGAAAAATTATCCTTCCACAGTTTAATTAATTAACACAGTGAACTCCCAAACCTGATCGTAATTTCTTTTCTGCGTTCCTACTCATCTCCACACTTTAGAGCCCACATTCAGCATCTGGAGATTCAGAGAAATCACACAGTAGGGTCACTGCAAGACCCAGAGTGGCAAATATGTGGCCACAGAGGCTGCCAGCCCTCTGCCTGGGGCTGAGGCTCTCTGCCATATTGAGGTGGAGTATCTCCCCTTTCTCCAAACAGCACTCCTTCCAGCCATTCCCAAAGTTAGAATTTGAGATGCCTGTGTTCTCCTTGGTTAGCAAGCTGTCCACCTGGGACTGATCTACAGAGTAGGATGGGGAGCCTCTGGCTGTGTGAATCCAGGAGTTCTCCTAGTTGGGTTGCCCCAGTCCAAACCTCTTGTCAAATTCTGGAGGATTGGACCTCAGAAGCCTTCCTCATGGAAATTGGAGCCCTTTATTTTAATCTGTTTCTATCCCTGGCCAAGCCCCGGTCTTGTCTTTGTGAAGACTGGTTTCTGATCTTCCCTCTCTTGGCATCTGATCCTGTCTAGTTGCTTCTACTGTCACCTCTGAGGTGGGAACAAAGGAACTGAGCCTTCCACTCCACTCTGCCGTAGTGACACCCTGTTTATGTACTATGGTACTGCGGGGACGACAAGAACCTCTCTGACTGGAGTTTGGGCTGGGAATCTTTCCATGCACCCTGCAGCATCTGCCTGCACCATGTCAAGGAGTGGCTCTGATTTTCTCCATAGCTACTTGGGAAGGATGGGCTGTTTGCGTCTTCACCTGCGCATGGTTTAGAACATAGCAGGTGGTGAAGAGCGAGCTGATGAACGCATGAATGGAAGACTGCTGCAGCTAGTGTCTTTCACGTTGCCTATGGAATTTCCTCTTCTCCTTTCCAGATCTTTTTGTCTGAAACTCCATAGTAAGAGGGCAATGTTTGTTTGTTGTGTTTTTATTGTGTTTTATTTAAGTCTTTAAATATCCTTTAGGAAAATGCCCAAAAGAAAGAAAAGAAAACCTTTTGTTGTATAGTGGATAATAACCAAATGGAGGAAAGAATAAACTTTTTCAAAGATACTATGAAAATTCACTAGTTCACATGACAAAAATCTGGATTTCTAGCACTACATGCACACATTTTTCTATTCAGCAAGATTTCTCTTTATAGTGCCAATTGCTTTTGTAAATAAGATGAGGAAGACTGTCTAAAATGTTTAAAACAAATCCTGTACTCCTTAGCATTTTAGGAATACTGATGAATATTTAGGTATATGCTAATTACTCATCATTTTTATTCATTCATGAAAATAAATATAACTCCTTAGAACTTCTAGAGGCAAATGATTTGCAAAATATATTCCATGTTACCCATCAAGACAACCAACATGCTCATTTCCTGGCTGGTGCTGACCTTGGCCAGCTCTGAATCCAGCCACTGGGCATCCTGAGGTTGATGTCTTACCAAGTTCTGAAGGACTCTAAGAACAGGATGGGACTGTTTCCTGTCTCTTATCCCTGGCTATATGGAACTCCTGTCCAGCTTTCTTTATCTGAGCTCTGCGACTTTTCCTCCCTGAACTTTGCTTTTTCTGAATTTCTTGGTTGGATCAAATGTTTCTCTTCTTTGCTCCTTTGCTCCCAGATGCCCCTTGACATAATTATCCTATCATCCAGTACCAGCTCATTACTGGGGTCCCCTGCACATAGAACCCATCATATGCATGGGCATGGGCTAGACACTCAACATGGACTAAAATGCGATTGAAATCACTAGTGGCATTTGAAACATTCTATATAATAAGTGTTAACAACAAACCACCATAAAATTATTTTGTAATTGAAAGTGGCCTTTCCCTTAACCAGTCTGAGTTAGTGAGATTACATTCTCCTATTAATACTGCATTGTCAGTGTCACAAAGTTTCCATGACAATTTAATGAAGCAATGTATCAATACAATTTGTAAAGTACTAAACACATGAAGTCTTCGTGAAGACTAGTTTCTGATCATTTGCATTTATAAACTAAATTTGCACTTATAAACTAAAATTATATTAGTTGCACAATACATTCTATTAGGATTAGGTAAAATTAAGTTACATTAGAGAAAAAACAGAGTCTACATTTTGTTTAAATAGATTAGACTTTAAGCCAACCAACTTCATGAAGCATGAGAAAGAAAATCCTCAAAGCACACACACAAACAAAACTACATGGACAATTGTGGGTTCAGTATTTCTTTCACATATGGGAATTAGTACTCCTGCCCTAACCAAGAAGGTAGGATGGAATGCTGGAAGCATTACACATTCTCTGGAACCCACTTTAGGTGACAGGGAATAAATACCAAATAGGCTTGGGCTAAAACCAAAGTGCATTCATCTCTAGCAAATTACCTTCTTGGAACTTGTAAGTATCAGTAATATCCTGTATCTCATCTCCTCCAATTTGTTTGGTCACAATTAATTTCCCAATGTGGGTGGTATCCACGCTTTCTACCACATGAGTGCCATCTTTCTTAGCTGTAATGTAAATAAGATCACTGTTGACCTGCAAACAAGAAAGCAGAACCTTAGCCATCATCAGATTTACTAAATGCCATGGTTGCCAGCTGCTGCACTATTTAGAGTAGCTAAAATGTGGGCTCACCCAAATGGTTATCAGTGTATTATGGAAGTCGGATAGAGCTCTGTCTATATAGATACAATAAATGAGCATTATTAAGTCTCTAAAAGAAATTCTGTCCTTTGACAAGACACATACAGAACCAGAAGTCATTATGTCAAGTGACATAGTCCAAGAACAAAAAAACAAAACAAACAAACAAAAAAAACCCCAGATATAACGGGCTCATATTCATTGATGGAAGCTAAAAGGAAAGCAATGGAATAGCACTTACTAGAAACTGAGAAAGGCATGGAGCGATGTTTAATAAAGATAATTCAGACAGGAGGCTTTGGTCTGGTTTCCCGTAGTACAGCAGGATATCAGCTAAAGTAATCAATAATATATTTTAAAAAGACTACAAAAGAAAGCTACAGGGCTGGGGTGGTAGCTCATTGGCTTAAGTGCCTGTCTGGCAGATATAAGGTCCTGAGTTTGATTCCCAGTACTGAAAAAAAATTCCCAACATAGAAAAATGGCTAACATTTGATGAGATGGAAGAGTGAATTAACCTGATTTTATTCTTACACACTGTATTCACATATCAAATTACTTTAATGCACCTATCAAATGCAAAATATCTCAATAAAAATGCAAAATATTCCTTGTTGCCACAGTCTTTCTTTTCTTTTTAAGATGTTGCTCTCCGTTTATTAATGACAGCAGTTTCTAAAGAGAGGGCAGTGCCTGGCCCCCTCGGGACAGTTGTCTGACTGCTGTGCACAATCTCGTCAGATACCCTTGTTAGAGGAAGAGCCCCACATTCACCTGCCAATGCCTTGTTATTCACAGAGGACATTGAATTTGTTCACAAACTGGTTCACGGTGTTGCAAGTTTTGGTGATTGTACCAAGGTAGGCCATGAGCCACACATTGTTACATCGATCACAAAAGTCTGTAATTTGTGCTGGGCATTGGGAGGCAGTGACACAGAGCATAGGCCTCCTGCAGAATCTCATGATTGAAGGGAACTTCTTCTGCTTCAGAGGCCTTGACGTATTCTAAGATGAGCTTGATGTGGTTATGCGGTGCCTTGATGGCGCTATGCTGGCTATTAAATGTTCAGCCACAGTAGAGCTCTTTCCACTACCTGTTGCTGTCATTCCGGCCACATGTCTACACCAATGCATTTCACTTTCTTGGTGACTAGGGTGTAGGTCAGCTCAGCAAACAGGATGGTGGTCTCACCATTGATTATATCGATGACAGACTCAAAAACACTGACAGGCAGATCTGTGTGCTTGGTCATAGGGTTCAATTTAAGGAAGAGGAGGTTCCCAATTATCTCACGCACCTGCTTATGGACCTGGATGTTGGAGGGGCCAGGTGACCCCCTGTGGTATACCAACCCAGAAATTCCAGCTCCTTGAGTATCTGTTTAAACTGCTTTTCCTTGGTGTAATAATATTCCTTGTCAATGATGATCTTCTCTCCGTGCTGTGGGACAGCAGCTCAAAGGAGTTCATCACCTTGACATTTCGGCCTGCCTGGTTCCCAATCAGAGCCCCAATCACCTGTACTGGACCCCCTCCAGGAACCCAGGCAGATCCAGTGGCCTGAGATGTTGAGAATGAAGAGCAACAGAAACGCTGCCCATCACGGCAGATGGCATCATCCTGGGGACCACTGCGGCATCATCTTCATCCCAGTGCTCCTTCCTGTCCCATTTGTCGCAGCTGCCGCCACTGCCGCCGTTTTCCCCATGTCCACCAGCCTCCCACAGTCTTTAACTTTCCGTGGAGTAGACAGTTAGTGTCCCTAGAGTTGGCATGTGTCTTTCTTCAACATTCATAAGGTGAAGCTCATTTTAAAAATACAGAAAGGTAAGTATTGCACGGTTTCTCTTCCATGAGAACCAAATATAAATAATTTAAAGAGTAAAATAAAGGAAGAAACAGGCAGATTTAGAGCTAGAGAAGGAGATCAGTGGAAGGGAGAGTGGGCGAAGAGTGTGGATCTCACGCGATCATGAAAATATCTCCCATATATTTATATTAACTGCATGTATATTGTGTCAGCTATCTGTATCTATATGTCATCTATATTGATACTGATATCAATATAGTTTTCAATTCCTCAAAGTGAATGCAAATTTTATGTGTGGCAAATATCTACCACTAAAATCTGAAAAGTGCAAGAGATACTGTGAAAGGGAATGAAACTGTTCAAAGGGAAGGGACAACTAGGATGAGGGAAAGGAGAGAGGAGAAAGAAGGGAAAAGAAATATATATTATATACAAATACAAAGGAGAGCTTGGGTTGCAGTACTGCTGATTTCTGCTAGTCTACTGAAAGGAGCAGTTAATGCTGTTTTTTTTTTTTTCTTTTCTCTCCTTTTAAAAACGTTTAGTCAATTTTGTATGCTTGTTTCTGGTAATCTGAACAACTAGTTTGAGGATGACAATATGCATTATAACAATTACTGAATTCCTAAAAAGAAAAGAGAAACACATAATGAAGAATTCACAAAAAAATTCCAAAGGGAGAATCCCCTTTCGATTCATCATGAGGATTTTAAACGGAGAATATCTGGGACTCTCAGTTGTCTAAGTCACGACAGCTCACTCTGTCTCTTTTCCCCTGGGTCTTCCATCTCCAGGAAGCACAGACTATTTCTTGCTTCCCCAGATCTCATCTAAGCTGGCAAAGGCCATGAGAACCTACTTCCAGGAAGGAGGTGAAGTCTGCCCAGTGGCTTCTCAGAAAGAATCTTTATTCCCATCTCAGAGGAGGTGCTCAGGCAGGTCCGTTCTTCCCTTCTGACTTGCAGATGTCTGCACAGGAAGTGAAGTGACACCTGGAACTGCTATGTCCACCTGGACAGTGAGGAGTAGCTCGGCCAGCCTCAGAAGCTGGCAGGGTGGCAAGGGGGAAGCATTTTCAGGCCGGCCGGACAAGGCAGGTCGATGCTAAGCCAACCTTGGGACCACCTGTTTTAAGATTTCTTCTTAAAAAAAAAAGATTTCTTCTTTATGAAAATAAAGCTTCGATGGTTTCAGTCATATTAATGTTATTACTTGCAGCCAACAAGCACTTAATTGAAAAATAAGATTGGATAATCACAGGAGGAATTCAGGCAGCGTTCTGGTGGCTCAGCAACTGGAAGTGCTATTTGTAAGGCTTAGAAATAACACCAAGGGACCATGGTGGCTAATCCCCAAGCTCCTCTAAGGTTTGGCTTTCCCACTGTATTTTGCAGAGATAATGTCTCAATTTGTTGAGGAATGTAAATTTCCCAAGATTCTCCAGTATGTCTCTGGTAATATATTATCTCCATATTGTATTCTTTAAGGTCACTTGTTGGGGGTGTTGCATTTATTCACATGGTAGCATGTAGGAAATGTGATGAGCATGGCTTACAATCACAGGTGTATTTGTTACATATTTTTCAAGTCCCTCTCTCACCCTGGTTCTTTTAAATAGTGGAATAATAGCTCTTCCTCACAGGATGACTGGCAGAATGAGTGGAACTAAAAGCATGTAAAGTACTTATCATAGTGCCTGGCAGAGAGCTAGCACTCAGTAAGTGTTATCAATACTTATGTATTATTTAATAGTATTCTCAGATATTGTTCAAGGCGCTGGAGCTCTAATGAACAAAATAGATTTAAGTTCTCTATATAGGGTTTACACAGTAGTAAGTACGATTCTGTTCATCAGAATTACTTGGGGGACTTTTAAAAAGTAGATGCCTAATTAAGGAGGTCTTGTGTGAGACTTAAATTGATTGTATTTTTAAAGTTATTTATTTATTTTTATTTGATACAGGGTCTCACTATGCAGCTTGGACTTGTAGTGATCCTCCTGTCTCAGCCTCCCTAGCACTGGGATTACAGGCATGTACCACTGTGCCTGGTTTTAGTGGTTGGCACTGTGTGCCTGAGGTTCAGCAGCCAGCACAGCATGTGGTACCAGGGACCGAACCTGGGTCCTTGGGCTTGCCAGGCAGGTGCTAAGACCACAAAGCTATCTCACCAGCCCCAATCTATTGTTTTCTAAAGAGGTCTCAGACAACTTTAATGAATACCAAGGTCGTGGAATCCCTGGAGTACAAGGCAGTGTGCACCTTGAGAAGATAAAGCTAAGATGCTTTGGGAACACATAGGGTGGGCGTGGGGTTCTGGCTCAGTAGTAAGAGCCAAATTGAAAGTGCAAGATGCGCAGGAGTTGTGACCTAGAGAATACAAGGGAGGAGTGACTGGAATGTTAAATCAGTAAGCTAGACAAGTGAAAATACAGCAGCTAACCAGAAATGCTTGTCATTTTGGGGAAAAAAGTTAAAGAAACTCCAGATGAGCTCCCTGAAGATTTCAGCATTCCCCTTGAGGAGACTAGCAGGCACAAACAGCTACCTTCTCAACTGCAAATTACAGTGATGACAATGACAAATATCCTCTTAATAACAGCTCTCACAATATCTTGCAATTTTCCAGGGAGAGAAGGCTAAATAGGAAAGTGGCTAAACCTTGAGCTTCCCTTGAGTATATGGCCTCAGAAATTTATAGAGGCTAAAGCTGTAGGCCAGCCCAACAGCACTGTCCCTCATTGAGAGAGGACAGGTGAATCAGGAGCATGAGATGGTTTTTGCATAGGCACGTTGAGACAGAGATAGACAGAGAGGCTTCTTTCCAAGTGATGTCCACAAACTTTCTCATTTTCAGCCTCTAGTGTAGTGGCTCTCTGTCCAGCTACATGGAAGAGTAGGAAAACTGGGAGAACAGGAAAAGGTACTAGTGATAGGAAGCACAGGAGACCAACCAACTAGTAGTCAAGTGCAAGGTGTCGACGCTAAGGAATTCTGGATTTACACTGTGTGACTCTTAGTGAGTTACTGAATCTCTCTGAACCTCTCTTCAAAAGGCTGGTGGGTAGATTGGTACAGCTGGTGAAGGCTCTACATTTAAGGATAGCTTCTTTTCCTTCTTTTGGATGGAAGGGATTCTTAGTAACAATCTAGTGCTACCCCTGCATTTAAGCGGGTGACAGTCATGTGCAACTGGGCATCCTGTGGTGAAATCCGGTATTCTTTGCAACTTCCTGCATCCTGGCTTCATCATCTGTGACCTCTGTCATTGTTCAGGGCTTTTGGGGCTCAGCAAAGGTGGGATACACTCTCAACAGGCTAGAAGGTCAATGCCAAAATCTTTTACTTGTACCCATAGAATGTAAATGCATATACAGGGATGGCAGAAGCTTTAAGTTTTAGGGGCTGGAAAGCTCTTATTTTCAGCACCCTGGACAGATCCCCATTTACTAGATGGAGATGGCCCCAAAGAGGAGGTGTTTTCTCCAGGGCGTATTGAGGCAGTGGTGGCTGCCTGGGTGAGGCATTCCAGGCACGGTTTGTCAAGCACCCACTCTGCTCTTGCCATTCTCAGCCTGTACTGCTAGGGACTGTGCCAGCCCTGTGTGTGCCCCCAGCTGCTTCACACATGTGCCTTGTCTCCCTCCAGGACTGCCAGAGCTAGAAATGCAGGTTTGTCTCTATTTTCAGGATTCTGTTCTTAGCAGCTTACTCAGCACCACATCTTGTTTGCCTGATTCACTCATTCAACTAATATTTATTGCCAACTTCTCTGTTACCAGACCTTGCTCTCAGCAATGAGGCTACTTCAGGCCCTATTCCATGGGCTACTATTCTGGGGGGGGAATAAATTTTGAGGACAGGTGACAATAGTTTATGTAGACTGTGTGGCCTTTTTGAAGAGGTCACCCAACTAAGGGCTGAATGCAGGGAGGAAACAAGGCATGTGAGTCATTATTCCGGGGTAGCAAGAGCAAGTGCTAGGGGAGTGAGGAGCATGCCCAGAAAAAGGAGAAGTGGAGGCAAAACTGATACAGAGAATGCACGGATGTTTGCAGCAAAGCAAGAAGGGCTGGAGAGGGGGAGCTGAATGGAAAGGGAAGGCAGAAGCAGAATATGTAGAACTTTATAAAGATTCACATTCTGTCCAATAGAAATCATGAAAGGAAACCACTGGAAGATGTAGGGCAGGAGTGTAACATGTTTAAACACATTTTGAAGGATAATTCTGGCTGACATGTGGAGAACAAACAAAAGAAGGGCAGGACAGGCAGAAGAGCTAGGAGGCAACTCTGTGGTGCTCAGCATGGTGTTGAGCCAGAGGTCAGCAATACAGATTATCGAGGTGGATGGATGCAGACTTTTGAAGGTATTTGTGGTGAGATATATGACGAAGGTTAAGAAGAAAAACCAAAATAAACCTTCAATATTATATATTATTTGAAGGAATGGGTGAATTGTTTTAAATCTGGAAGAGATGCCTAAAGCGAGCCACACCTAACAAGGGGAGCAAAATAAACAAGTTTCAATGGAGAAAAGAATATATAGAGAAGTACCACACACACTGGATGCAGAGAACTGCTGGCCAAGAAGTGCAGCCCTGTGTGCACCCCCAGTGCACCCTTTTGAGGATCAGGGGGTGAGGGGTGTGGTTCTGAGGACCCAGCCACTGCTGCTATAAAAAGCATCTCAGTACCTTTTAGGTGTGTGTGTGTGTTCACATAGTCAAATACACATGCAACTGTGTGGTGTATATACCTGTGTATGTGTCCATTGGGAGTACAGTGGTGTAAAGAAGGCAATGAGGCCAATGAAAGTTAAGACAGAAGAGAACTGTCTGCACCAAGAAGAGGCTTCTTCACTGAGAACATCTGAGATCTTGGTGACCAGGTGAACTCAGAGGACTCCACATCCTTATTGCCACCCTATTCTCTGTTCATCACCTTCGAACCCTGAGGGCCTCCATGGGTTGGGAAAAGAAGACAAATGAGCCTTCAGGACTGGAAGAACTCAACACGGCAAAGAGGCATGAGGAAGGAGGAGGCTAGAGAGTCAGAGGAAGGCTAGGAAGCATCTTCTCTCCTGTCCCTCTGTGTGCACGAGGGAGGGCTGCAAAGGACCAGAATGGAGGACACTGTCCTTGCATACTTCTCTTCTTTCAGGTTATGTTTTCACTTGAGCATACCAAGGCCCTACAAAGTGTAAAACACTCATACCCATGATGCTTGACCTGGACCAGAAGGGAGTAAAGAGTGGCCAAGGAAGTGTGCATGCTGAAAGGCAAGGACAGGAGAGTGACTGCTGCGGGAGGTGGGGTAGCAAGAGGCAGGATGGTGCAGCAAGAAGGAGCGAAAGGAAGCAGCTGCAGTCTCGAACCCGAGTCACAAGGAGACTCCTTAGGGTTTCCTGTGGCACCCCCCATGGTGTCTTACCCAGGCCTCTTGAGAAAGGATGCCTCATACACTTCCAGAATCTCATGACTGTCTTAGAAACAGCTCAGCCCTGGAACTGAGCCTGATCCAGAGCAGCACACTGCACCGTCCATGAGAGAGGAATAATTATAACCTGCAAATCTTGATGGCATTCCTAACACCCTGATCTATATTTAATAACAGCAAAGAGCACTAGCATTAACAGCTATTAGGCCATTCGTTTGCGCAGGGAGGCCTTGTCTCTTTCTTTACAGTAATAAAACATAATAAAAATACCAAAAGAAAGCTTTGTGGATTTTAGAGTGATTTCCCCCTAAGAGGTTCTTTGAGCATTTAAACTATCAGGTGACAGCTGGGGAGGTCTGTGTAAATCTTCAAATCCCAAAGTGAAATCTAACATAAAACTCTAAGAACCGTAAGTCTGGTCTCCTGAGGTTTCTAGAAGCAGCAATGACAGGTTCAGTGGAAGGAACACAGTACCTTTTGTGTATTCCAAATCTCTGATTCTTACTGTCAACATAAACACTCACGTGCTAGCTCCTTTCCCTGACTGTCGCCCTTTGTCTAGTTCCGGCCCTTCCCTTATCTCTCCCAGATGGTGATACAGTGCCCTTCCTGGGTCTCACCTCCATCCAACTCCACCCTCTCCCCATTCCTGCAGGCCACCAGTGCCACCATGGATCCCTCCATGCCCCTGGCTTCCAAGCTCAAGGACTAATCACTAGGATGTCAGGGCTCCATGTGGCTTCCTTGAGCCATCTAATCCCAACCCCCGATGCACTGCTGTATGCTTGAGAGCCTGCAGAGCTTTGAGCCCCCCACACCCCACGCAATGCTCAAGTCATCCCCTCTGCCTAAAATCCCTTCCCTCCACTGGCTTGTCCTTAAGCCCCTTTGTCTGAATAAGTGCTGATCATCAGTCCCTCCCATGTGACCGCACAACACTCATAAGGGGGTTATAACATGATAAATGATTATGAGCTGAAGATAAGTTTGATGCAGTTTCCTGAAGGCAGAAAATCACAGGCAGAGCCATAATACTCAGTGACCATTTCTACTCACACAGAATCTCACAGTCTGATCTCAGGTCACCCTCTTTGCTTAAACAGTGTCTTGTGATCTTTGCTATCCAGCTTCAGGTCCCAGCCCTAGTTCTCCATTAACACACTTCTGTGTACGGCCAGCCGCAGACTGTGCGTTGTGTGCTGCTCATCTGATGACTGGCTTCCTGGCATCTCGTGCCTTGCTGCTGTTCCCTTCTGGTGTGCTAATGGCACTGGCATCTCCCACTAAGGATCGTGCCTCCCAAGGGCGGAAGCCTCTGATTCCCTCACCACAAATATTTCTTCCACAGCAATTGTAAGGAGTGGTTCCCAACCTGAGCTCAGGTGCCTACCCAGCTTCAAATCTTAGCATTTGTTGAATAGAACAGATGATTATTAAAAGGTTATTTAACTTTTCTTTTTGATAGAATGGGGTGACTAAGAAGGCCCACTATAAAAGGCTTCCAAGGGCATTGGATGGTAGGTACGGTGATTGTCTAGCCAGAACTCAATGAAAGAAAAAGATTATTTCAGTGTGTTAATTGAGGCAGATACACTGGGGGAGTCATGCCTCTCAACTTTTTAAATACTGCCCAGTCCTCAGCAGCCTCTTAGCTTTCCTGGTCTGACACTTACTCGATTCAGTCTCCTCTCAGGCACTCGCTTTGGAGCATCCTTTAACTGCTTTCTCTGCTTTCAGTCCCTTCTCAGTGTTTCTGGACCTTGAGACCCTTCACGTATTGACCCTCCTAACCTATTAAATGGGCTGCAGTCCTCCACTGGAGCAGCACGCTGGGCCTCCCCTTCTTTGCCCCAGTGGCAAGACATGGACTACAGTGACCAAGCGAAGATCACAAGTGGGGGTTTGTAGATTTGGTTTCATGTGAATTGCTGGGCTAGCCCCAGAAGCAAGTCTTACACTCTGAAATTTCCACTTATGGGCTCTCTCTTACCAAACGTCTCTCGAATGATGCAATTAGCCCCTTAATTTCTCTGAAGCAGGGACATTAAATTTACCAGCCAGTAAATCATTTGTTTTTATGGGAGAAAATCTCAACGCATGGAGTAAAGAAAAATGTTAATTAAGAATCACATTATGCACAAAGAATCTGGGGTTGGAGTCTAGTTGACTTTGCAAATGTAAGACGTACACCATGAGCCTGGGAAACTGAGACGTAACAACCTCCTGCCCTTTTCTCTCAGGTGTTAAGAGACTAAGGAGTAACAGCACTTTCCTCCAATTTCCACTTACCTCTGCAAAGACAAAGGGTGCATCAAACTGGAAACACACATGGCCGTGCTTGATGGCCTGGACAGAGGCAGGGCCACAGCGGTACATGCCTGCGTCACACAGAGGAAGGCAGACACATGAATTTGTGGTCTCTGCTTTCATAAAAAATGGGTGGTTGGCAGCCCTGAATGCGACTTTACTGAGACCAGTCCTCCTCGACTTCATTGCTGATTTTCTCCCCTTACTCTCCAGGGCTAGGGACAGCAGATGGCCCGGATATATAATCAAAAGGACTGGATTAGAAATGGTTGCTTAAACCTAAATTTGAAGTCAGCAAGGAGTACGGGACCACACCCTTGGGAAGCCTATTCTGCCACATTTCAAACCTCCCCCAGTGGGTTTGTGCCAGGTCGTTGGCTTACACGTACTTTTCCTCTGGTACCTGAGATATAGAGAGTGTTGATGAGTTCATGTTTCTGCTGTTTTGATTTTTGGTTTTGCACAACATGGACGCATATCCACTTTAGAATGTGGACATTAAGCACACATGTTAGGCAGTGTCCAATATCCAGCAAGTCATGAGGGTCACACTGACCCTCTTAATTCTTTAAATCTTAATCACATTTCCATACCTTGTCAAAAATTAGCCGTCATTTGTGCCCTCTACAATTGCTTTAGATATTCGGTCTAGCATGCTAAAACTGTTGCAATTTCTGCCTTAAAGTCCAGTTTTGTCATGTGATTCCGTTATAAATATGTACTAAATATTTATGCACGTATGTACAGATATGCACATCACCGTCTCATATTAACATGTGAGGAAGTAGACATAAATAAAGACGAAGCCCCAGCCCACTGATCTTCTCTATCATCATGTTAGAGAGCAGTGGGAGCTTAAGATGTGATGCTGCAAAAATGACCAGGGTGGGTCACAGCTGCCCCTGCTCAGCGGAGTGGCAGGTTAGGAGATAGATGCTCATATACTTAAGTTTTGAAAGTAGTCACACAATATAAAAGGAAATCAGGTTCTGGAGGAACAATAATCTAAAGGACGATCTATAATTATGTTTTAAATCCTGCATTTTCTCTCTTGTCTTCTAGCTTATCATTGTGGACTGGGAGGGTCGGTTATATTTTATAGTCTAGTAAAAATGCTTACACGGGTGTTTTTCCCCTTGTCTTCAGAACTGCTTATCAAAGCAAGTGTAGATGAATTATATATGTGAAGCTTTATACACTTTTTCTAAAAGTTGTAAAGTAATCAGCATAAAGCTAATGATGAAAATGAGATTAAACCTGATTGGCAGGTGGTTAATCTATACGTGTGCCCAGAAAGGGCACCTCTGGTGTTGTCCCTGAGGGCTGTGGTGCCAGCATATCAAATGCAAACTTGAAAGAGAAATAGACAGTGGGACAGTTTCCCCAAGGAATGATGCAGCTTACCGTCGCTGTTTTCCTGGGGTGTGCTGTCCACAACTTGCCAGCCTCCGAATCCAACGGGAAGATCCGGCCTCGTCATCCAAGCCTCATTCCAGCAATGGTAGTTCCTTACAAAGACAACGGCAAACAGGTTAAACTTGCCATCACACTCCATGCTCCAGGACATAGAAAGGGGACCTTGACTCCTTCTAATTATTGAAATGGATTCAGCTAGGTCTGGTGATGCCTGGGGACTTCCTGGGACCCCAGACCTGAGTGTGCATCTCTTTACCCTTCATCAAAGTTGGACAACCCATGAGATAAGGGCCGTGTAAAACTTCCTGGGAGTGGACCCACTCCCACTGGCACTCTGTGGAGCCTGCATGCTGGCCTCTCTTCCAAGGTCACTTTCAAGGTGACATATATTAGTCAGTGTGTTGAACAGTTTTCATTTTAATCAATCTTTACTACTTAATAGAATAGAAATTACTATGTGCTCAAAGAATAGAAAAGAAAATTATTTGAACCTAAAGTATTTATCTCTGAATTTCTTTTGCATAGTTCTGATTTATAAAATTATATTCCATTAGAGCAATAAAGAAGTACATATTTGTGTTTATGGTCTTAGGCCATTTCCATAGAAACTATAAAATTAGCTCCTGATTATAATTCTGTATAATTTATGGAGATTTCCATCTCGTGCTCAACAAGAAGAAATGGTCGTCAGGGTGTGCGTCTCTTTACCCTTCATCAAAGGCGGACAACTATGAGATAAGGGGCGTGTAAAACTTCCCAGAACTTTGTGTGTGACCCTTGAATCAAGTGCATGGAATAAAATGTCACTGTGAATTGTATTATTATGTCCTTGGAAAGACCTGAAATTATGTGGCAGTACAGAATCAAATGAGAATACATTAACCCCTCCACACTATAGAAAATGTTCATATAGTAATAACCATTTAACGATGGGTGAAGTAGTTACAGCAGTCTCTGTTTATAGCACCGATGAATTTCAGATCCAACTGCTATCCATCCTTTGCCTAAGTGTCCCTCAGTGTCAGTAACTGGTGCAGGTTCCCATCTTTCTCTGAAAGTAGCCCATTTCTCACCAGCACACTTAAGAGATATTAACTTAAGCATGTGCCCACTATGCACTGGGCATCTCGCTAGGTGCTAGAGACTCAAAGTCAGTCAGGACATAGGCTAAGCCCATAAGCGCCTCATAGCCTACAAGGAAAGACACACAGTGACCACTGGTTAATAGAGGGGAGGAGCTGGGAGGCTTACATTAGTGAGCAGAATAAGGTAGGCGTGCGCTGAGCATTCTCAAAGGGTCACTCTGAGATTCAGGAAAACAGCCCATTGGAGCAATGCATGCCAAAATACGGGGTCTCGGTGGGACCATCTCGGGCCTCAGGGAAGACTTGCTAGAAAAGTGATGAGTGTGCTGACCCCTGAGAGGCGAAGAGGAAGACTTAAACAGATTGGTAAAGGGAGTAAACCCGAAACAGTGCAGGCCTGGTATTACCATCATGGATGATTGGGGAACTGTGTGCTCTTGCTTTGCTGGAGAGTAGTGTGTTCATAACATGCATGAGAGAAAAGGAGTGACTTCAGGCGGGCGTGAGCACTAAGGGTGAGGGCGGGCACCTCAGGAGAGGGAGGGCACTGAAGGTGAGGGCGGGCACTGCAGGTGAGGGTGGGTACTGCAGGCGAGGGCGGGCACCTCAGGGGAGGGAGGGCACTGCAGGTGAGGGTGAGTACTGCAGGCGAGGGTGGGCACTGCAGGCGAGGGTGGGTACTGCAGGTGAGGGTGGGCACTGAAGGTGAGGGCGGGCACCTCAGGGGAGGGAGGGCACTGCAGGTGAGAGTGGGTACTGCAGGCGAGGGTGGGCACTGCAGGCGAGGGTGGGTACTGCAGGTGAGGGGGGGCACTGAAGGTGAGGGCGGGCACTGCAGGGTAGGGAGGGCACTGCAAGGGAGGGAGGGCGCGGCAGGGGAGGGTGAGCACTGCAGGCGAGGGTGGGTACTGCAGATGAGGGAGGACACCGCAGGGGAGGGAGGGCACCGCAGGCGAGGGTGGTGCACAGCTAACAAGTACATTCAAGAGTCTCACACACCAGGTGCTGTTATAAAGCATGGAGGGATATCAGCAGGTCTGGTGTTCCCTGCACCCTGTAAATTCTTGTACAATTATCCCTAGCTCACAAGGGAGAGAGCTGAGGCACAGGGAGGGTCTGAACCTTGCCTGAGGGCACACACATACCTCATGGGGGAGCTCTGTGGTTCATGCTCTTCAATATAAGCTAGTAGAGAGGTGAGGCTAGGATTGTGAGATGATTTTATGCCACGTGAATATTTGTGCTTTATTCTTAGGCCGCCAGAATCTATTGCAATAATTCGAGAAGTAGAGTTAGGTCTGCAAATGTGGGTTTGCAGAAACTGGTGGAGGAGACAGATTGGAGCTGGAGCTGCACCCTTCCCCCAAGTCCTCCCACTCTGGCCCACACTGAAGTACTCAGTAACTGCAAGAAGCATTCACTAAAGGGTGACTGGCACCACGGACAGGGAGCAGGGTCCTCGGAAGGAACAACCAGCGGGACTGAGGGGTCTGAAGGGCTGGTCGAGCCAGGAAGATGTGTCTTGAAGAACAAAGGCTTTGCCATCAAGCCTCTGGACAAAGGAGAAGTAAGTTTGTCCTGGGTGTGGTGTGGATGGGTGGATGACAGCTTAGTTTTGGACACAATGGGTCTGTGTGTCTGGGAAATCCAGGAGACGAGGCCCAAGAGGCATTTTTAAAAAATATACAACATGTCTGAATTTTATAAGGAGCTTGCTGGAGTCCTTATATGTGGTGGAATATGGGGCAAAATCTGTTGTGCTGGGAAGGGCAGGGAGGTGGTACAGGTTCTTCTGTAAGAGAGATCTAGATTGTGAAAGGGAGAGGAAAGGATGAGGTGGTGGCAACACATTATAAGATGCAAGGATGGCTGTCTGATTCTTTTGAATTATGGGAGACCGAGATATGCCCATGGAGGCAAGGAAGTTGAGAGGCTTATGGGCCAGCATGGCAGAGGACGAGGTCGGAAGTAGCCCCTGGGAAGTGGGGGAGGGTCTGCAGGGTGAGGAGGGGAGCCCTCAGGTGCTCAGCGTGCTCAGGGTCAAGGCATGCAGGCCTCTGAGCAGGAGCAGGAGGTGGATTCTCTGCCTCTGCTTGGAAGCTGGGGTAAGGTCCTGTGAGCGTCCACGCCTTTGTTATCCCCTTCCTGAGCAGCAAAGGGTGACCCATTAGACAGGCAGATCCAGAGAAGAAGAGAAACCAAACACATGCAGGCCTGAGTGGACACTGTGCTCTTCATGAACTACCCAATGCTTAGCAACTGATTTTCTCTGCCACCCCATCACCTTAGATTAATAGGCTGCAGAGCATCCTTATTTAAATTCAATTCTCCTTGGCAAGGTTAGCCTGCAACAAGAGAAATATGCTTCGCACTTCACATATCAGTAAAGACTTTCCTTTGAAGACAATATTTCTTTTCAAATGACCAGAAGCTGTGGGAAATTTCTTTACTCTCACTCTGAGACTTAATTAGGTAAGCAAGGTCTCTCTTACCTTTGCACCTACGACTGAGGTGAGACCTGTGCAGTGAGCACAGGAGGCTCAAACACTGGCACACCATGGGTGTGGTGCGGTGGAAGTGACAAGCCCCGTGTGGCTGAGTCCTCAGGGGTGGACCAGCTCGGGGCACTCAGGATGGCCAGGGGAATAGTACATTATATGACGAGTGTCTCCACTTTCACATCGTGCTCAGTGCATGTAACTCTATACAGATTTGTCTGTTACATCCACAGTTTCTCACGGAAGGTGCTACGGTTATAGATATTTAGACTACTTGGTTTTGGTTTTGTTTGTTTTAAAACATTTCAATGGTTACAAAGCTGTCTGGTGGAAAGGGAAGAATGTGTCTGACCATTATCAAATATTTAGCAGTTTGGATACAATTCACACCCATTTCTGACAATCTGCATTTTCCATATATTGTGATTTATTTCCCTTTGACGTAAAAAATTTCCCTGAAAATTTTAAATTGGTAACTAATAATAAAAATAATAAATAATAAAAATGTAACATGTATGAAGTTTTGGAATGAGTTGGGCTAGGTACCCTCCCTGGATGGACTGCAAGGCAAATAGCACACTTATCGCCTCACTGGTCATTTTTTTGTGGCGAGTACATTTCAAGCTTACATCATAGCAATTCTGAAATACATAACACACTGCTGTTCACAGTAGTCATCCTGCAGTGCAAGTGATCTGAAATACTTGTTCATTTTGTGCACATAGCTCTTAGCCTTTTTCCTGACTCTCCAGGTTAGGAAATGTATACTGGTTCCTGAAATGCTACTTCATTTTTTAAAGCATCTTTACCTACAGCCCTAATAGTTCTTTCTGTTGTAATCTTGTAATTTAATCTTGTAATTTTGAGGTTTTGTTTATCATGCTCACTCTTTATTTATTTATTTATTTGGTACAGAGTCTCGCTACAAAGCTCAGACGCATAGCGATCCCCCTGTCTCTGCCTCCCCAGCGCTGGGGATTACAGGCGTGCACCAGCATGCCTGGTTTCAGTGGATTGAAGCCTCATCCTTGTGCTTGCCATGCAAGTGATTAGACCATGGAGCTGCCCAGCCTCCACACCCATATTTTTTGTGTTGAAACTAACCCTGCCCTGAGGAGGTGCTAAGCACAGGATGCCCCTGTATCCACACTCGAAGGCCTCAGTGTTTGCATGAAGTCATAGTAGAAAGTCATTTAGTTACTATGTGTATTACTATATGCATCTATGATGAGGTTTAATTTATAGATTGGGCACAGTAGAAGATTAATAGTAATGAATATCAAAACAGAACAATGATAATATACTGTAGTAAAATTTGTGTGAATGTAAGCATGCTCCTTCCTCTACCCCAGGTTACTTGGGCACAAGTGTTGTGATCCTGTGCCCACAGTCATTGTGTTAATCAGCCAGTCACTAAGTGATGACTGGGCAGGTAGCATATACAGAGTGGATACGCTGCTAAAGGGATGATTCATTTTCAGGATAGATGGAGCACAACAGCATGAGAAT